GAGAGCTTTTATACTTTTATAAAGCTGTCTATAATGAAAATTAATTAACTAAGGATTTTTTCGCCCTGCCAAGGTGTGGACCAGTTATCCGGAGTGCTAAGTTATCGAGGGACGAGTTTTCGAGGTTCTACTGTATTACATTAAAAAAAAAATATCTATTACTTATAGCAGATTAATATTACAGTTTATAAAATATGTTTTTCCTCACATGACACATTAAGTGTAATCCATAATAAATTATCATAAAATATAGATTATTTCAAATAACTTTATCAACATGAAACGACTTCTAATAAGTTAACACTGTGTTGTGTAATAACAATCCACGAAACCATTTTATAACAGTGTTGTCTCTATAACAAACTTCACAAACGTTTTCGACCTCCACCGAGGTCTGCTTCAGGTGGTGACTAAACATTTAGTCATCACCTGAACACTGTTATAAAAAGGTTTCGTGGATTGTTATAACTATCAATTTGATCAAAATATAAAATGCGTTAATTTTTAATTAAAGTGAAATTTATTATGGTCTTATTAATACAAGAGCATAATAAATTTCTATATTACATGTATAATGCACAAGTAAATTACAATTAATATTACTTGATAATTAATCATTAACTTGTGTATATGTGTTAAATAATAATAAGCAAAAATCGATATCTTATAATTTATGATAAATACTCATATAATCTTTTATTAAATAATATAAAATAAGCATATTATTAATTATAAAATTAATATTAAAGAATTTCATAAACAATAATAATTTTTCTTAATACTTCTGTTCAGTATTAAATCATTAAATAGATGACAAATTAATTCACCTGATATTCGTCATATTCTTTATTAAGGGATTCCCACTCATCAAACACTCCTTCTAGTTTGGCTTCCATTATCAGTTTTCAAAATTTAATTTTGAGCATGTCAACATCTGCAAAAAATTGAGAAAAAACAGTTAAGCAACGCCTCCTCGTGTATTTTTGATATTAAAAAAAGATAAAAAAAATAAATAAAAAGTAAACGTTCTTACTTTCAAAACATTTTTAAAAAATACAACAGACGCGTATAGTTTTGTTTCTAGTATAATTTAAAAATCAATTTGCCACTTGTTTACAGAACTTCAATTAAAAAAAAAAAAAAATTACGAAGACCTTAAAGTAGTTGGCGGCTGGCGGTAAATTTCTGGAGGCTATATATATTTTTTTCAATACTT